CCCGACGCTCATCAACATTTTGTGTTTGCGGGACCTTCAGCTTTAGACTTGCCCGTGGCTAAGGTGCTGCCCACGGAGAATCCAGCTGTTCTCCTGCCCGCCCTGCACAGGCACCTGGAGGCGGTGCGGATCCCAAGGATGTCACACCCAGGGCCCGGGATACCCTCTGGGACGCCCTGCTGGCCAAGGCCTTGCCCGTGGCGTGTGGTCTAACCCTAAAACCAGCCTTGCTCCCAGCAGTGGCCGAAGTCAACTCTGACCTAAGAGGTCACACCAGGAGGCCGCTGCATCTAGACTCAACCGTCTGTCCATAGGCCTGCTGCAGGGGGATGATGCGAACCCCTGGACACTCAAGGACGGGTACACTCAAAAGTGCACAATGATAGCAAAAATAATGAAGAGAATTTCCTCACAACCCACCTCGCTCTTTTTTCCCAACTAGACCTTTCTGCAGGATTTCTGGAAAAAATAAAAAGCCTTATCACTCTTTTAGACAACAAAGCACTTGGCCCCGTTGCTTCCATGTAAGAATGGACCAGAAAGCTCCCAGTTCCTGGGGATGACTCACTATAGGCTTCCTCCTCTGTCAGGACGTCGGTGATGTACCTAAAATCTAGGCAGGATACCAGCTTCCTGGGGTCCTGGCAGCATGACAGCCGGTAGGAAAGGCCCACATCAATTCACAAGTGGATTATGTTTCTAAGAATCTGCTGGACATGGGCTTATTCTGTCCGGGAAAGGACATTTGGGTCCCCTTCTCCTCCCTCCCCGAAGTCGGGGCTTTGGCCTCACTGGGGAGGCCCACATTCTCGGCTGGGTCTCTGGCGAGACCTCCCCACCCCAATCTAAGTCAGTCAGTTTGGAAGCAGGTTGTACTGTGACCAATAGTACTCCGCTGTAACCCTTAAATATCATAAAAGCTCTCAATGCTGAGACTCTGCTTCTTTTAAGACCACTGGCATTGAAACAGGGAACAGGATCCAAAAGAATGAAAAGTCCACAGGTGGGATTTCAGGCACCTTCCTAGTGGCCCCAAATCATTCAGTTCTGGGGGCCACCTCCAGCACCCCTCTGAGAGGCCAACCTTGAGCCTGCAGATGGCTCAAGAGGTCCACGTCCTTCCCCTTCAGATGGCGCCCCCATGCCACCCGCAACCATGTCAGAGAGATGATGTTACAGCCTCTCATTTTCACTTTCCTCCAGAGAAGAGACGTCTGCCGGCCCAACAGTCTTCAAGGCCATGGTTCTTTGTTTTTTCTTTTTTTTTAGTAAATTAATTTATTATTTTTGGCTGCGTTGGGTCTTCGTTGCACACGGGCCTTCTCTAGCTGCGGCGAGTGGGGGCTACTCTTCGTTGCGGTGCGCAGGCTTCTCATTGTGGTGGCTTCTCTTGTTGCAGAGCACCGGCTCTAGGGCACACGGGCTCAGTAGCTGTGGCTCGTGGGCTCCAGAGTGAAGGCTCAGTAGTTGTGGCGCACAGGCTTAGTTGCTCTGTGGCATGTGGGATCTTCCTGGACTAGGGCTTGAACCCGTGTCCCCTGTACTGGCAGGTGGATTCTTAACCACTGCACCACCAGGGAAGTCCCAGAACCTTCGTTTGTTAACCACCAGATTTTCAGCAACCATCTAAGGCATCGCCCCGAGCAAGATGATGCTCAGAGAGGTTAAGTGGCATGCTCAAGGTCACATAGCCCAGGAAGTGGTGGAGTCCAGATTCAAAGCCAGGTCTGCCTGGGTCTGAAGTTCACTCCCCTTAAGCTGCCCAGAGTTTTCTCCTCCTTGGCAGCCAGGTGCTCATCCCTATATCAACAGGTCAAGGAGAAAGGAAATGGCAGGGGCACATCTTTAGAATTCACCATGGGCTCCTTGCTCAAGAGTCTGATCTGCCATTTACTCTTGGAGTCAAAGTGACCAGATAATATTTTAATAATAACATCTTGCTCATCAGGGTTTGTAAAGCACTTTTCTCAATTGGTCTTTAAACCAATTCTGTGGAGTTCCTAGAGAAGTTATGATTATCCCCTTTTCACAGTTAGGAAACGGAAACTCAAGAATTTGTATTACACGTGGAAGCAAGTGCCACAGTGGGGGAGGCGGGACCATCGGACCTCCCTGCCTGCATGAGCACAGCTCTTTGTTACTTCAAATACCAGAAAAAGAATATTAGACTTGGGACTTCCCTGGTATAGAATCCATCCTGCAATGCAGGGGACGCGGGTTTAATCCCTAGTTGGGGAACTAGGATCCCACATGCCATGGGGCAACTAAGCCCGTGCGCCACAACTACTGAGCCCACGTGCTCTGGAGCCCACGAGCCACGACTAGAGAGAAGCCCGCACGCCACAACTGGAGAGAGAAAAGACCCACACGCCACAACTGGAGAGAGAAAAAACCCACACGCCACAACTAGAGAGAAGCCCACATGCCGCAACGAAGAGCCCACGCGCGGCAAAGATCCCGCGTGCCACAACTAAAGACCCGACACAGCCAAAAAAAAAAAAGAATATTAGACTTTACTGGGTTTTGTTTGATCAGCACTACAGTGATTGATCCAGAGACAGTGCTGAATGTATTTACTAATTATCAAACGGCAAGTAATCCACGAAATCGATTTCATTTACAGAAACAATGAGAATATTAAAGAATTTACTTACCATGTCAACAAGTAACTTCTACAGAGGCTTGAAGAAAAGATTTGTAAAATGTGTGAAGTACCCAAAACGTGTTAAGTACCCACTTGTTTTCTGACAGTAAATGCACTAGTGGCGAATTCCCACTATCAGACTAACACCTGCCTCCCAGCCCCTTGCCTCTGCCACCCTTCTTGCTCAGCCCTTTCTAACCTACTCCAACAACAACCTGACTGTAGCCAGTACCTCTCAGCGGAGACGAATAATCAAACAATTCTCCGTATGTCGCTTGGGAGCCTGCTGTGCGTTTGCCTTTGCTCATAGAGGAAGTGTTTGTGCTGCAGGGTCACAGAGGTGCTGCCTGGAGGATTACCTTTCCCTCCTGCTTGGCCCACAGGTCCCACACGGCATTGAGAACGGCCGATGTGTCCAGATGCACCACACCCTTCTCGGGACCGATCTGGTTAGGAAGCAAAACACACCAGCACTTCTTAGAAAAGAAAAAGATATTTAGGTCTTCTAGCCAGGGACATGTTTCATGAATTAAAAGGCAGCGATGGAAACTCACTTAGAGGGTAAGCTCTTTTTCAATAGTTTCTAACCTATAGAAGATTTGCAAAAATAGTACAAAGAACTATATATTTCTCTCTTTGTATATACATATATACACACATATACACATATGTACAGAAAAATAAAATATATAATATAAACTTATTTTACTGAGTAATTTGAGAGTAAGTTGCAAATATCATGCACTATTTAACCCTAAATACTTCAGAATGTAGTTCCTAAAAACAAGGACATTCTCTACATGACCATAGAACAAGGATCAAATTCACGAAATATAACATTGATAGAATACTATTACCTACAAAGACAGTCCATAATCAAACTTCACCAATTGTCCCAATAATGTACTTTCTTGTATTCACATATTGCATTTAGCTGACATTTCACTTTAGTCTCTCTTTATATGGAGCAAATTTTCTTCTTTTTAAAAATGATATCAATATTCTCAAAGAGTACAGGCCAGTTGACTTACACAATGTTCCTCCATCTGGGTTGGTCTGCAGCCCCATCATGATTAGATTGAAACGCTGCCACCATATTTTTTTCTCAGAGCTATTATCTTTTAGCGCTTGGGTAAGGCAGTATCCTTTAGGCTTCCCCACTGTGTGGTTACCATTTCCCTTTCTAAGTAAGGAGATTAATATTGCCCCCAAGTTTTAGCATCCATTGGTGATTCTTGCCTCAGTCAATTACAGGTATGGTTGTAATATGGTGGTTTTCTAATGTTACCATTCCTGTTATATTAGTGTGTATTCGATTGTAATGACAAAGTTTCCCTGGTTGGTTGGTTGTTTGCTATCTTAACAGACTCATGGAGTCTTAGGTTATTCAGTGACTTGTACACATCACCACCACATTTCTCTTGATGCTTGAATTGTCCTAGATTCGACCAGTGGGAACTCCTTCGAGGGGATGCTTTAAAAGCAAGTTTCACTTGGTTGGCACAAGTTAAGAATGAAGTTCGAGGCAATGTGGACAATGTGCCTTTCTCTGTGCATGGACAGGAGACTGAGCACTTAGGAAAAGACAGAGCTGATGTCAGGAGTCATCGGCAAGGTCTCGGCTGCTAGACTGACCTTACTGCGATAAAATCCTCTCTCTAGAACCTCATTTTCTTCATGCTTTGAACTTAGGGTTCAAATATAGCCCTATACACATAAAGGTGCTCTGGTCTTTCTCTTCTTAACCTTTGTTCTTCTCTTTCGTTTGTCCTTAATAACCGCCTCCCACAACTCCAATTCTACTCACATTATGTCTCCCTTAAAAAGGTTGCCCATGGGCTTCCCTGGTGGCGCAGTGGTTGAGAGTCTGCCTGCCAATGCAGGGGACGCGGGTTCGTGCCCTGGTCCGGGAGGATCCCACATGCCCCGGAGCGGCTGGGTCCGTAAGCCATGGCTGCTGAGCCTGTGCTCCGCAATGGGAGAAGCCACAACAGTGAGAGGCCCGCATACCACCAAAAAAAAAAAATTTTGATTGACTTTTGTTTGGTATAGCCACTGCTTCAATATTAAAATTCTCACATCATTTCACAGGATAGTTGTAGAGGCACAGTTTTACTATCAGTCAGATCTTAGGAGAAAGATGTTTTGAAAGTATTTAAAACATGTTCTTAGGATCTGCTTGGCCTCTGTGTGACGCAGCCCTCAGATGATTCGCACTGGCTCTCACATAGAGCATTTAGGGCTGATCCACACCTTCTGTGTTCTCTAGGGCTTCTGTTAATGGAATGCAGACTGATTCCAGTTCAGGTGCTCATTCCCTAGAACTGTGAGAAGACAGAGTGCTCCTCACTCCTTGATGGTTGGTGCTCTTGGATTAAAGACATCTGAAGAGTAAGTCAGCCTGAGTCCGTAACATTATCTGCATCAAACCTCTGTTCTACTGAGATGGTTGCTGAAAACCATGGACTGTTTGCATCACAAAGCAAACACATTTAACAAATGTTAAGGATGGGCTCATCTTCCACAGCTCTAAGAGAAGTGCAAGCAACACTAATACATTCATCTAGAGGATGTGGATTCTCCTCGCTCAAACTGAGGCCACTGCAGGAAGTTTACTAAAATTTGGTGCCTTCCACAGAAATTTGGGCGGTGGTGGTCTGACTCCAGTGTGGAGAACAGTCTACTTCAGGTGTGCACGTCTGAAGTGATGGGTGGGAAATCTGTCTGGAAACACTCGGCCTTGAAGGCAGCTCCGTGCTGACTGAGGCCAGTGTTCTCTCCTGTGACTACATCTGTCCAGGACTCAATTCCTAGGACCTCCTGCCCGGGAGGGACAAGTCAGTAGAGGCTATGGAGGACTGTGGGTCTGAGCTCTCATGCTGGCAAGAAGCCTTATGGCCATTTTTTCTCTTTAAAAATTATGCTTTTTTCACCTCTTTTTCTTTTCCTATTAAAAGAAACTATATTGGTCTCATTTATACATAAAAAATCAACCATAACTTCCCCGCTCTCTCACATATAGGCGCTTTCTTCACAGTAACAAGGAAAGCATTGTTTTCTTGGATCATAAAAGATGATTAGGTAAGTAGGCTGATAAAGGCTGCAGAAGAACTGTGATGAGCTAATGGAATTTTTTTCAACTTTAATTTGAACACCACGTAACACATTCAGTGAGACGGCAGTGGCAGTGAGTCACCTGAAAAATGCAACAAGGTTAAAATTAAAATGGGTTCCGTCATGCTGTGGTCTGAAACAGGCGGAAGCCACCTCCATCACCACAAAAGAGCCATTTGTTCCAGGCACAGAGAGATGGAAATTGATTTCTCCTGCTCGAGACATCCATTGGGACAGTGTGGGGAGGGGAGGGGAGGGGTCAGGGAGGTCCCCACACAGTGAACTCAGCAACACATCTGTCCCAGGGACCACGTGACAGTGCAGTGTCCCTCCACTGCAGGCCCAGTTCCAGGTCCTGGCTGTTAACAGAGAGTGGTTCTCATGGCTTGTCCCGGAACACATCTTGTAAGCCTGCTGAGTTTTGTACAAACTTTGGGGGCCGCCCTGTATGGTTGGAGAAAGCAGCTTCATAAAGTGCTCAACTTACACCAGAGAATTAAAGTTGCAGGAGAAGCTGATGCACAGCTCAGCAACCTATGGGGGTCAGCGGTCACTGCCTGGGAGAAAACATCAAAAGTGAATGATTGACTTAGGGGGAGGGGCTCAGGGAATCATTGCTGAGGTGCCTCCGTCTGCCCAGCCAATTCCTAGTTGCCCCTCAAGGCTCATCTCAAAACCTCACCATTGCTCTGAAGCCGTCCTGACCCTCCTGGACAATGAACTAACCTTCTTTCCATGTAGCTTGTACTCAAAAAAAAAAAGTCCTTCTCGCACTGCACTATTGCTTCTTTTATGTCTGTCTCCCTGAGAAGTTTGTGATTTCCTTCTCCTTGTACGTGGGACTCTGTCCCCTTTCTCTCTCTCTGTTTGTAAAGTCATTTCTGCAGTGCCTGGCAGAGCGCCTAGCACACAGGAGGTGTCTGCGGAAGGCTCAGCTGACGGATGACTGGACGGCAGCCCTGGGAGGAGCTGGAAGAGCCTGATGGCATCCACATAATGCTCAAGAAAGGTTCCCTTGTCCTACACACACACACACACACACACACACACACCTTTTAACTGCTCGATGATACTAAAATTGTTCAGTGGGTCAAGACTTTTCTCTAACAACTAGGCAAGGGCTGACAGTACAAATATCCATGAGGGAGGTATCGCATCACCACCAACGTTAGAGAATCTATTTCCTCCCTTCCTGGACCCTCACCCTTCAACCTATCATAATTCGGCTTCAGCTCCTAATGAGCTATTGAAATTGATCTGTCAGAGGTCTCCTTTTTGTACATATTGAATTTTGTACACTGTGCGTGCATTAAAAAAAAATTATGCATTTAAAAAAAAACCAAGCAAATAATTTGTATGTAAATATTCCGGAGAGAAAGCACTTCGGGCAGTCAGGACTAACCGAGCAGCTGTCTGAGCCTCAGTTTCCTTATCTCCAAAAATGTGGACACTCAAGACCACTGAGCCCTCGTCCAGCTCTGAGAAAAGACAGGCTTACTCACAGCTCAATGTGCATTCTTCACTATCTGCTATTCCAGATGAGAGTTCTGAAACTGGGCAGGACCTACAGCCTTTTCTGCCAAGAGCAGTGAACTTGAAACCAACTGAGTGTGGAATATTCAGAAAAGCAAGTAGGCTCTGTGCACACAACAATAAGCCTTGTTCTGTGAATGCATGCCTGCCTACGTCATGTCCCTCACTCACTCACGCAGTTCAGGTCCTCAAAGCTCTGCACAGAAATCGGCTGAGACTCAAGGATTCACCTGCAGTCTATGGATGACTACAAGGAGAGAAGCCAAAATCTGCTATTTAAAAATTTATCTCAATGAAATAAACCATTAAACATTGTTTTTACTCACTTCAAGCAGTGTAAATACGGAGGAAAATAAGGTCAGAACTGGAATGTAAATGAAACTTAAGCATTCTGGAACCTCAAGGGATGTTCAACTCACCAACTTCAGTGCCTTTCCCCAGAGTGAAGGTGATTCCGTAGCCCTTGAGTCCATCTTCCGCATCCGTCTCCAAGACAACGTAGGCAGCTGAGTAATCAGGGTCTGTTTGCTGCAGGGGAAATGATCCCCCCAAATCCGCAAATGTGAGAAATCCCCAAATAAACCCGGGAATGATGTCACGTAAGAACAGAAAACACCAAAAAGAGTTCCCATCAGAGGGAACTGTTCATGTTCCCCAAAGGAAACACAGGAGCTCTGAATGGACAAAAGGAATGTCCTCCTGAAGGATGGCAGTTGGACTTGAGGTGAGAGTGAAGATCCAGGAATGAGATCTGGGAGTCTTTGGCATAAAAGTGGTCACTGAAGCCATGAACACAGAGGGGTCTTAATGGGAGTGTGTGATGAGACAGGAAAGGCACTGAGACCTGAGCCTTGAGAGGGAAGAAGGGGGTCAGTATAGGAAGGAGCAGCCAGAGAGGCAAGTGGTCAGCGAGGGAGGGGTGGGCAGCAGACAGCAAGAAATGTAGACCAGGGTGAAGGGCACTGGAAGCAGAAATAGAAAGGGCAGTTCCAAGAGAAGGAAGGAGACACAGGTCGACTTCAAGTTAAGGAGGAAGTAGATGTACGGGATGGAGGCAACAGGCATGGACCAGTAATCTAGGGTTTGGTGGGGAAGGGACAGAAAGGGTGGAGAGGTGTAAGGGCCAAGTAAAGACTATTCCAAAGTGAGAAGCCCTGTCCATGTGGGATGGAGAGGGGCCACTAGAAAAGGAGAGACTTAAAATGAAAAGGGAACAGGCCCTGGCAGTCAGGAAAGGTGGGCGTGGGGACACAGGCGTAAATCAGTTCTGGAGAAGGACATGCCTTACAGAATAAAGGGAAAGATGAGAGGGATGGCTGGAGGCTGATGTGCAGAGATGGGGCCAAGGGTGCATTAGTCTTCAGTCTTTGTGGCGACACAGTGGCACAGGGGGTGGGTGGCAGAGGTGGGAGAGAGTGGTCTGGACAGCAGCTCCAGGGAGCTCAGCAGACAACGGGGAATGGAGAGGAAAAGTATGGCTGGGACAAGACATGGAAGCAACCTAAGTGTCCACTGACAGATGAATGGATAAAGAAGATGTGGTACATATATACAATGGAATATTACTCAGCTGTAAAAAAGAATGAAGTAATGTCATTTGCAGCAACATGGATGGACCTAGAGATTATCACACTAAGTGAAGTCAGTCAGACAGAGAAAGACAAATACCATATGATATCACTTATATGTGGAATCTAAAATATGACACACAAATGGACTTTACAAAACAGAAACAGAGTCACAGACATAAACAACAAACTTATGCTTACCAAAGGAAAAGGCAGGTAAGGATAAATTAGGAGTTTAGAATTAATATATACAAACTACTGTATATAAAATAGATAAACAAGTGTTTACTGTATAGCAGAAGGAACTACATTCAATATCTAATATAAACTATAATGGAAAAGAAAAAATAAAAGTCTGGCTGGGAAGTGGCAGGCTCAGCTGGAGCTGGGCTCTCTGGAACCGTAGTTAGCTCCTGGATAAGCGCTGGTAAGAGCACCGCAGGGCTGAGGGCTCCACGTTTCTTAAAAGGCTGGTAAGAAATCGTAACTGGAACCCACTGCTTGAACAAATATGGGGAACAGTTTCAGGGCTCCTTCATGAAAATACCCTACCTGTGATCAGGAAGACTCACTCTGCTGCTAAGTGCTAAGGGAGCTGAATTGCTGAGTGCTGCGTGCAGTGAGGGTGTGGGGAGCAATCCTCAGTCATGGCAGTACTGCTGAGGACTGACAAGCAGACTTGCGATTAAGAAGGCACTTGGGGGGAGCTCCCTGGTGGTCCAGTGGTTAGGACTCTGTGCTTCCACTGCAGTGGGCACAAGTTAGATCTCCTAAGATCCTGCATGCCTCGGGGTGGCCAAATAAATACGTTAATTAATTAATTAAAAGGAAGGCACTTGGAAATCAGCATACAATACACACCATATCTCTGGGAGATAATATACAGTATTTATGAGCTTGCAATACAGCTATTAGACAATAATCTCTCCTGACCCAGAGGTCATAAACTACTCAGGCCAGAGACAAATTCCATTTCCTAAATTATTCCACGGTAAGCCAGCAACCTTAACACTTCACAAATTCAAAGAAGAGAAAAATGGAGGTCAGCACTCTTCTGCTTCAGTTTCTTCATATATAAACAGTAATTACAGCCACAGTTATTGCCAGCCTTCTCTGTGTCAGGCCCTCTACACACATCTCATTTACATGTATAAAGCAGACACTGTTATACCCATTTTACAGATGAGAAAACCCAGGCCTGGAGAGATTGTGTGGTTTCCCCACAGCTGCTACACCTCAGAGGGGCAGAGGCGATAGCACATGATCAGGTATTTGAATTTTACAAGTCAGTAAAATTTCAAATATTTGTTTGGAGATCCACAAAGGATTGCCCAGTGGGTGTTTTTTGTCATTTACCATAACATCATATAAGAAAGGACAAATAAGGGTTTTTAAAAGCAGGAAGAACCTAATCTCAGAATAAAGGGCATTCTTTTAAGTAACTTTAGCACTTTTTAACAAGAGGTCATTTCATGTACGCAAAGAGCATAGGGAATGTAATAAACATCAGGGTGCCCTCCACCCAGCTTAAGAGGCAAAACTTTACAGTGTGAATGAAAGTCCTTGGGTACCCATTCCTCTCCCTCCATACAAGTAACAGATAATCATTATCCTAACACGGATGTTTCACACATTCATTACATACCCTGCAACTTTGTTTTTCCAGTGTGCCATGTGTAAGTGGGCCGGGAGGGGCAGTGAGGATCCAGTGGGGACAGGCCTGGAGGAAGGAGACCCTGCACAGGACTCATATTTGGGAACCACTGTACTAGAAGGTGGTGGTGGCGTGGGCTGTCCCACTAACACTCTCAGGGAGCAAAAATGCCCTTCAGTGCTTACTTTACTGCATCTCCAAAGGCTGACATCTACTTAACTCTTTAGGTGACACATCCTCTATAATCATGTTTTCAGGTAATTTCATGAGAGCCCCCCTCTTACACGACCCAGTTACTGCGAGTTTGTTCGTCTGGTTTTCCAGCCAGACTGTGACTCCTTCACTTCGCAGATGGGCCTCTTGGGTTAGGAGCTTTCCCAGGTCACACAGCAAGCTGTGGCGGAAGCAGGATCACCACCTAACACCCTGCCCAGGGCTTCCTGGTCTCCTTCTGGTTGAGAAGCTAGCGCTGTGTTTTAGGGTTTCACTGGTGGGAACCTAACAAAATCGGTTTGCAAATACGATTCGCATTTCCAGCAAAATGAGAATTGTAAATGTAAAAACAGGAAATACTAAATGTCAGCAAAGAAAGGAACAGTAAGAAAAAAGAAGAAAACCTAGGAGGGTGGAGTGTCTCTAGATACCTTCATTCCCCTTCCCGACCTCTCCACTTAAAAAAGCATCGGTTCCAAGGTTGGGAACCTTCCTGGGGCCGGTGGGGTGCCCCGAGCCTAAAGGGCCCAGCGTCGGAGGGGCGGGAGGGCACCGGCGGTCAGGCAGCGCTTACCATAGCGTCCAAGCCCCTGAGCGACGTGGGGAAGCGCAGAGCCAAGAGATCCTGCCGCGCACCATGCCGCCCCCACCCCGGGGCTGCCAACTCTGCAGGACACCCTCTGCACAGAGGCGTGTGTGTGTGTGTGTGTGTGTGTGTGTGTGTGTGTGTGTGTGTGTGTGTGTGTGCCTTTCTTTTAGGAGTCCTCCAATAGAGAACA